GAAAGAGCACACATAGAGAGAAGGCTTGGAATTGAGTTGAATATGATGGGATGACCCTAAAATATAACACAGGGTAGGGAGAGGTAAAATGGAGCAATTATCTCACACAAAGGAGGCATGAATGAATGAAAGAACTGTTACAGTGGAAGGGAGGAAGGGATGGAGAGCTGGCAGTGCTAGAACCTTATTCTCATTAGAACTAGGTTAGAGGAAATAACAAAAATCTTGAAGGGTATAAAAGTCTTCTTAACTTACAAAGAAACAGGAGGGCTAGGGGATAGGATAAGGGAGGGACTCTTGGAAGGTTAAGTAGATTAACTATTAGGAAGGGTGATGATTAGGGAAGTAGTTGTTAGAAGTAAATTAGAGAAGGAATAGTGTACATAAAACAACAACAACAAAAAAGCTAGCCTATTGTATCTAGAGCCAGCTAGGTGGTTCAGTGGACAGAACACCAGGCTTGGAGTTAGGAAGACCTGAGTTCAAATCCAGCCTCAGACACTTACTAGTTGTGCGGTTCTGGGCAAGTCACTTCACCTTCCTCATCTGTAAAATAAGGTGGAGAAGGAAATGGCAAACCACTCCAGTATCTCTGCCAAGAAAACCTCAAATGGGGTCATAAAGAGTTGGACTCTACTGAAAAATGACTGAACAAGAACATAGTAGAAGAGAAAAAAGAAAAAAAAAGGAAAGAAAAAAAGAGGGCAGGACAGAGACAGGGTGGTCAATGGGTGTGACGAGTGTATCCAGCAAAGGAGACTGGAGGAGTATGGTAGAACAGTTACAAAGAACCTAGAGAGAGAACAGTGTCACGAAAACCCACATGAGAGATTATCCAGGAGGAGAAAGTGGTCCCTTATGGTAAAAGTGAAAACGTTAGGAAATAATATTTAGGGGCAGCTAGGTGGCACAATAGATAGAGCACCAGCCCTGAAGTCAGGAGGACCTGAGTTCAAATCTGGCCTCAGACCAAACACTTGACACTTACTAGCTGTGTGACCCTGGGCAAGTCACTTAACCCCAATTGCCTAAAAACAAAAAACAAGCAACAACAACAAAAAAAAGAAATAATATTTATCTGATCTAAAAAGCTCTTTCCAGACTTCCTAGTTGGAAGGTGAGTTAGGTCAGACAAAAGGCCTTTCTTAGGGAAATAAATCAAGAGTGCTAACCAAACTTATTACCAAGAGGATCTTTAGTCTGGTTCAGAATACAGCCTGAAGCCTTAGACTAAGGACCAGCCCTTCTCCATTGAGAAAGGATTCTTAAAAAATGGGATCTCAAAGAGGTGGTCTCTTATTTTAACTCCAGGAGAGCATTTGAGGGAACTAAATAGTGACTATAGTTTGGAATGTTAACCACTAAATTATATTTTAACATATCATGATCTTTTCTTTGTTCAAGATTCCTATAAATGCTACCTCAAATTATCTTGGGATACAGAGACATGTCAGAGAGCATGGGAACTATGCCAGTTTGGATATCTACTTGCCAAGCTAGGAATGATTTGCATACAGAGTAATATTAAACAAGATAAAATTATTGCTATAGATTTGTGCTTCAAACACAGTATAAATATTCATACTTTTTTTGTTGTTCAGTTGTTTTTCAGTCATGTCTGACTCTTCATGACCCCATTTGGGATTTTCTTGAGAAAGATACTGCAGTAGCTTGTCATTTCCTTCTCCAGTTTCTTTTACACATCAGGAAACTGAAGCAAAAAGGTTAAGTTATTTGCCCAGGGCCACACAGCTACTGAGTGTCTCAAGCCAGATCTGAACCTAGGAAGATGAGTCTTCCTGACTCCAGGTTCAGTACTCTGTGCACTATGGCGCCACCTAGCTGCCCTATACATTTTCTTAGACAGTGTTAAAGACTAGAAAGAAGTCAAGATGGTGCTAGATGGCACAATGAATGCAGCCCAGGATTTGGAATCAGGAAGCTCTATGTTTGAATCTCGCTATGAGACTGAGCAAACTGCTTAACATCTATGTGTCTGAATTTCCTCATCTGTAAAATGGGGACAACAATGGCACTTACCTCCCAGCATTGTTGTGACAAATGAGTTAACATAAGTAAAATCATTTTGCAAACTTTAAAGTGTGATGTAAATGTTAGCTGTTACTAGATTTAACAAATAAAGAGGTCATTGGTTACTCTGGATAAAGCCAATTTGGTTGAATGGTAAGGATGGATGCCAGATTGTGGAGAAGGATGAGAGGAGAGGAAGGGAGGTACTATTGTAGAAGGCTGTCTCAAGAAATTTAGCTGAGAAGGGGAGGAAAATAGTGAGTGGGGATGGTTGAATGAAGAAAGAGTTTTTTAAGGATGGCGGGAAGACATGGGTATTTGCAGGCAGCATGGAGGAACCAATAAAGGGAGATATTAAAGATTACAGGGAGTGGGGAGCACAGTTATGGCAATATACAGGAGAACATGGGAGAGAGAGGATAGACAAGGAAACTGTGTACAAATTAATCGACTTAATCTATGAGCTAGCCTTGGGCCCAAGACCATGTTTCAGTTTTATATCTCATCCATTCTAGCCACATCATCATTGGGTGTGTATTGATCCTGCTCCCTAACCCTTTCTATCACCCTACAACTCATCCTTCCTCTCCTCTATTTGTAATCTTCACCTATTAGAATACAAGCTCCTTGGGGCAGCTAGGTGGCACAGTGGATAGAGCACCGGCCCTGGATTCAGGAGGACCTGAGTTCATATCCGACCTCAGACACATAATACCTACTAGCTGTGTGACCCTGGGCAAGTCACTTAGCCCCACTGCCTAATCCAAAACAAAACAAAACAAAACAACAAAAAAAAGAACACAAGCTCTTTGAGGGCAGGGACTGTCTTTTAAAATCTTTTTATCTGCAGTATTTGGCACAGTGGAGCAGCTAGGTGGTGCAGTGGATAGAGTGCCAGGCCTGGAGTCAGGGAGACTCATCTTCATGAGTTCAAATCTGGCCTCAGGCACTTACTAGCTGTGTGACCCTGGGCAAATCACTTCACCGTTTTTTGCCTCAGTTCCTCATCTGCCAAACGAGATGGAGAAGGAAATGGCAAATCACTCAAGTATTTCTGATCCCAAATGGGGTCAAGAAGAGTCAGACACAATTGAAGGACTAAACGAGAACAATACTCAGTACAATAAGTAATCAGCTGGAAAGTAGTGACAAAAGCTTAACAAATGCTTTTTCATTCATTCATTCTTTCTTCATCACCACCTGGTCATGAATAATAATAAAGATACCATTTCCATACAGATGACTCCCAGTCTAAATCATCAAGCCTTCTCATCCTTTTCCTGAGCTCCAGACTATCTCCACTTACCCAATGGATATCTACGGTGGGTTTTCCCATTGGCACCTCAATTTCAATGTGTCAGAAACAGAATGCATTACCCACCCCCTCAATCTACCATTCTTCCAAACTTTCTCATTACTGCCAAGGGTACCACCATCTTTCTAACCATCCAGGATCATGACCTCAGTGTCATCCTCAGCTAGTGACTCATACTTACACATTGAATCAGTTGCCAGTCTGACCCTTTCTATTGCTGTAAGATGTCTCCCATCCATCCCCCTTTCAACAATCACTCAGGCATCACCCCTGGTTTAGGCCTTACACCACCTCTTGTCTGGCATTTTGCAATGGCCTCTCATTGACCTCCCTGCTTCCTGTTTCAACTCTCTGATCCATCCTTCACACCACTGACCAAATGAAATTCCTAAAGAATAGGCCTGAGCACATCACTCCCATCCTGAAGAAGATTCAATGGTTCTCTACTGCTTCTAGTGTAAGATATAAATTCCTCTTTAGCGTTTAAAGTCGTTCAGAATCTGCCTCCAATCTAGTTTTTTAGACTGATTTCACTTTACTTCCTCTCTAACACTTTACTACTTTCCACCTAAGCAGGCTTACTTTCTACTGCCTATGTAATATTAACATTCCATCTTTGATCTCTGGGTCGTTGGAAAGATTGTTCTTCATGCATGGAATGCTCTCTATCCTTATTTCCATCTCTTGGGATCCCTAGCTTCCTTTATGGATTATTTCAAGTGCATTGCCTTTCTAATTCCTTCTGGTTGTCAGAGCTCACCTCTATACTGAAATGACTTTGTTTATATTTCATCTTTTTTTCCTCGGTGCGCATGTTGGATCTTTCTACTATAATGTAAGCTCTTTGAGGGCAGGAAGCATTGCTTTTTAATAATAACAACAATAATAATGCAGCTAATATTTATATAGTACTTATTATGTTCCAGGCACTGTGCTAAGTGCTTTATAAATATCTTGTTTAATCCTCACAACAACCCTAGGAAGTAGGTGTTATTATTATCCTTGTTTTACATATGAAGAAACTAAGGCAAATAAATGCTAAGAGACCATGGTCACACAGCCTACCATAGTTTTTCTTGCACAAAAGATGCTTTAAGATGGTTGTTGAAATGATTTTTTTTCTCCCAGAACACTTTTGATTTAGTAAACTTAAGAAACCACAACATAGAGAGGTAAAATTATTTGCTTAAGGTCCTATGGTTAATGAGCATCTGAACTGGGATACGAAACTAAACCTTCCTGATCCCAAGTCCAGTCTCTTATCCATGTCTCATGCTACCTCTCAATCTTCTGGTTCAGACATGTGATTAAACCATAAATATTTTTAATGATAAATAAGGGCTTAAACTTAGTTGCCCATATATTAAGTGCTTCTTTAACAGTCACATGGTTAATTTAGTCTTGTGAGGCTGAGAAATGACTAATTAAAAGTCTTACATAACAAAGGCAATAAAAAAGTTAATAGATGTAAATTGTTATTATTTACTCCCATTTCTATTCCCTAATCTATCTTGTTTCACAGGCTAGTAAACTTCTTGAGTATTGGAGCTTAACAACTCTTTTTCATTAGCTATATTCTACTATTCCACCTTGTTACAAACTAACCCTTAAGAGCAGAGTATATAATAAATGTGTTGGTGCCAATAGTACTTACTTTAGTTCTCTGCTGAGAACTAAATTAATCCTGTTTTTTAAAGGTCGATTCTTCTCAGGAATAGAGAACCAGGTCTTTTTCCCCATTATCAACAGATTCTGTTTACCTGTAAATCAAATAGAAAACTTAAGAGTCCATTTTGATAAATATACAAAGTTATTAGAGTGACATCTAGTGGATCCTCTTTTCGTACATCATTTTTGTTAATGAAGAATGCTTTAAAACAAAGTTTTGCAAGTAATTTAATCTAAGGTAGGGCACCCCCATTGTATTCTACTCAGGCTTGGGTGGAGACAGATTCTTCTGTCTAGAAAGCCCAAGGCTGGAAGTGGTCTGGCATGGTTGGGGGTAGTCTGTCCAGAGGTAAAAAATGATGATGGGGTGATATCACCCCGTGCATACTATATAAACTATGTGTACTAACCCCTAAAAGAGCTCAGTTCCAACACTGCAGCTCCTATGCATATGCACGCTTCCGATCTGAGAGAGACAAACAATGGACTATACAACTAATTCCATTTGTTTTTCTTAGACTAAACTCTGTGTGAGGTTGATACTATCTAGCTACTCACTTCATATTTATGTTGTACCTATTTTCATATACATATATATATCTGTTAAATCCCCTATTAGAGTGTAAGCTTATTTTGATAGAGATTGTTTCATTTTCTGTATTTTTATTCCTAGTGCCTAGCAAAGTGATTGGCATATAATAAGTGCTAATAAATGCTTGTTGGATGATTTGAAAAATTCCTTTAAGTTTGCGATAACAATTGTGGGATAAGCATTACTATTTCATAGGCAGTATCTTAAGTAGTTTTGAGTGTTTTTAATAAGGAATGATATAATTGGTTTAAAAAAATACCAAGTTGAAATGTGTCTCTTATCTTTAGCCTGATTATGATAGACACAGTTCAGTGCTGTGTCATGTTGATCAATCAATAAGCATTTATTAAATGTTTACTGTGTTCTCTGTACTAATGTAGGGGCAGAGGCTAATACATACATGAAATCTCCACTCTCAAGCTTACACTCCATCATGCTGGAGTCTTTTAAAAGTCTAAATCTTTTCCCAACTGTCTAGTCTTACCTATGACACCTAGATTGCATATGCTATTCCTTTAAAAATAAAAATGTATTGAGATTATTGTTTCCATTACCCAAACTCCCCCAATCTCTCTCTTCTTTTACAAGACCCATCTTTTAAAACAAATTAAAAAAAAAAAAGCAAGAGAAAAAAAATCAGCAAAACTGATCGATATGTAAAGAACCAGACATTATATTTAATACATCATACCCATGGAAATCCTCTCTCTCTGCTTCCAAACCTACAAAGGAGTGGGAGAAAGTGTCTTCTTATACATCTTCTTTGTAACTTTGTAACATTAATTTTTTATTTTGTGGCAGATATAAAATGGAAACATTTACACTG